CTCCTCCTCCTCCTCCTCCTCCTCCTCCCTTTCCTCCTGGTGCAGCGAGGTCCTGGGCGCCGAGCGTGCTGGCGAGGGCCGCTGCGCCTGTGGGCAGATCGCCGATGACTTCCACCGCATCTGGGGCCAGTGCCCCTGCCGCCCGCAGCACGAGGACTTCGACAAGACGGCGAGCCTCTGCGAGCGCGCGGGGAGAGGCCACCAAGACTGCCCCGTCTTCTGGCTCCGCGGCCTGGCGCCGCGCAGCTCGACGGTGCCGCCGGCCTGCGCCACGCGGCACGAGCCGAGGCTGCTGGGGGCGGTGGCTAGCGGGGCTCGCCTGGCGCCCGAGGCGGAGCGCCACTTCGCCTGTGGCGATGGCAGCGGAGGCGAGGAGGCCTCCGACCCGAGGTACCGCCGCTGCGGCTGGGGATGGTGCCTACTGGAGGGCCCGCCAGAGAGCCCAGCCCTGAAGGGGGGAGCGTGTGGCCCCCTCGCAAGGCACAGGCAGACGAACAATCGTGCTGAAATGACGAGTCTCCTCTCCGTCCTTCAGCACACCAGCGGAGAAGTAGAGTATTGGACAGACAGTGACATTCTTTTCAAGGGCTGGAATAGGGGGAGACACCTCAAGCCAGCCAGCTGGTCAGTGAACGGAGACCTTTGGGAATCCCTAGGCTCAGAGTGGCGCTCGAGAGGCTCAACGGTGGTTACTGTCAAGTTCCTCAACAGCCACCTAGCCCCCCAGGAGGCCATCGCCCGTGGGGTCCCAGTCTTGGCCTGGGTAGGGCACCAGATTGCAGATGAAATGGCGGCAAGAGCCGCCGAGGCACACGCCATCCCGAAGAATCAGCTTGACTGTTTCAAGTGGGTGAATGCTGTGCTGGCGTTGGTCAGGCGCCGCATTGCGAGGGCCACTTTGTGTGCGTTTGAGTCCGAGGAGCGTGCCGCCCCGACCTTGCGGCAGGAGCGGAGGTTCCTCCGCAGGTCGAAGCCGTCGGCACTATCCCGCGCACAGGAATCCTCCTCGCACAAGCTCGTGCAGGAGGGCCGCGCGCGTTGGGCATGTATGCGTTGTATGAGCAGCGTGAGCACAAGTGCATCCAATCGTGTGCTGCACAATTGGCTTTGTACCGAGTGCCCTGCCCCCCCCCTCGCTCCAACCCCAAGCGCGTGCTCGTATAGCCATCGGCCCCCACATTGTGCACTGGTCACTCACCCTCGCGTTCTATGAGCCGCATTGGGTGTGCACGCGCTGTGGCTGCAGGGCGCAGACGGGGGTGGGCCACAGTAGGGATCTCGGCAAGGAGTGTAAAGTGTGAGCGGGGCGAGCCCCCCACTGAGATGGGTCTGTGGGTCCTACACCGGCTCTCCGAGGGTAGGCCTCGCAAGTGAGCCCCCTTCCAGAGGCGTTTCCGACTGCGTCGGCTTGGGGTAATCCTGGGTAATCCTCCTCCTCCCCCTCCCTCTCCTCCTCCTCCTCCTCCTCCTCCTCTTCCTCCTCCTCCTCCAAGGCTGGCTCCCTAGCGAAGGCCCGCGCAGCCGTCTTGCCCTCGGGCGGCCGCGGCCCCGCGACAATGGAAGCCCCCAGCGCCGAGAACGCGAAGTGACCTGGAGACGTGGAGAGCATCATTCGGGGCGACCTGGATGGCGTGGACCGAGTGCGCCCAGCATGATGTGTACATGAGGCGCCCGTCCAAAGCCAGCAGGAGAGCCCGCAGACGTCTAATGCTCCACGTGCGCCAGCAAGCCGCCCTGGATCTCGGACTGGTCGAGCTGGACTTCTGCACCTCCTGGCCAGCCTCGCCATTTGACTACGGATTCGTCGAAGGGTGGCTGCAGGAACCCGCGTGCGAGAAGTGGGAAACGAAGATCGACCCGATACGACCAGCTACAGTGCAGAGATCAGGGCGTGCGAGAGGACGAAGGCGAGGATGGAGAACGAGACGTGGGACGCGAAGCAGGACCCCACCATCCTCACCTACAGCGCTGGAAACAGCGGGCGCGAGGCACAGACGGCGACGACAGAGCCCGTCACGAGCCACTGTGAGAAGCGGGAGGCGAAGATAGAGCCCAATATGACCAGCTACAGCGAAGCGATCAGGGCGTGCGAGAAGGGAACGGCGAAGCTGGAGCCCGACGAGCCCAGCTACAGCTCTGTGAACAGTGAACGCGAGAAGTCGGAGGCGAAGCTGGAGCCCGACATGATCCGCTACAACACTGCGATCAGGGCTACAATGGCGGAGGCCAAATTGGAGCCCAATTGCACTAGCGTATTCCCCTCGTCACCTCTCGTCGCCACGGCTGGATCAGTGAAAACGGCATGTGGCTCGGTTGCGGAGGCGAAGTTGGAGCCAAGCGTGATCAGCTACAGCGCAGCGAGCGAGAGAGGAGCATGGGAGGCAAAGATAGAGCCCAACGTGACCAGCTACAGCGAAGCGATTAAGGCGTGTGAGGAAGGAACGGGGAAGTTGGATCCCGACATACACAGCCCTAGCCCTGTGAACGGTGAGCGCGAGAAGTCAGAGGCGAAGATGGAGCCCGACACGATCAGCTACAACGCCGCGATCAGGGCAATAGTGGCGGAGACAAAGCTGGAGCCCAATATCACTAACGTCCCCCCCTCGACTCCCCTGTCGCCACGGCTGGATCCGAAAAAACGGAGTGCGAGAAGCGGGAGGCGAAGTTGGAGCCAGACATCGTCAGCTCCAGCGCGGGGACCAGCGCGGCAAGAAGGAGAATGCGAAGCTGGAACCCGACACCCCGACTCACAGCTCTGAGAACAGCGAGTGCGCGAAGACGGAAGCAAAGGTGGAGCCCGACGCGATCTGCTACAGCGCCGCAGTTAGGGAGTGCGAGAAGGAGAAGGCGAAGCTCGAGACGGAAGAGCCAAGCTGCACAAGCATGGCGATGTGGCGGGCGCGAGCCGAAATCTCCCGCAAGTGGCTGGGCCCGAGCAGGTGGCAGCGCGAGCAGGAGAATGAGGCGAAGCCGAACCCCGACGTCGTCAGCTACAACGAGGACATCCTCGAAGAGATCCTCGAGGAGGCCGGACGCACAGCGAGAAGTGCGAGAAGTGGTAGGCGAAGGCTGCGCCCGACATCATCAGCTACAGAGCTGGGAGCAGGCCGTGCGAGAAATGCGCAGGCAAGCGCCGAGACGACCGCCTGAGCGCGGACGCCCCTTACCCTGGACGGGAGCCCCTTGAGAATGGGGGCATACCTGGGGGAGGGGCAAGCGCCTCGGGAGTAGACAGCCATCACGGTTGGGGAGAAGCCTCTGGAACCTCCTCCTCCTCCTCCTGCTCCTCCTCCTCCTCCTCCTCCTCCTCCTCCTCCTCCTCTCCTCCCCCTCCTCCTCCCCCCCCCCCTCCCCCCCATCTCCTCCTCCTCCTCCTCCTCCTCCTCCTCCTCCTCCTCCTCCTCCTCCTCCTCCTCCCCCGCCCCCCCCTCCTCAGAGGACCACATCCATCCCAGCAGACAGCCGGGCTCCCGAACACGACCCCAGGGATCGCTCCGCAAGGGCCCTCCAGGAACGTGGCCGGGAGACGCAGAGCGGCCTTCGGTCACATCCGCTGCGCCTCGACCCACAGCCCAGGCATGGTGGCGGGAATGGCGCAAGGCCGCTGGGCAGTGGAGAACGGTGAGGGCATTGGATAAGGAACACGGAACCCAGGGTCTGGAAGCTTTTGGAGCTCCAATCGTGGATTGGCCATGGGTATCACTGCCGCCCTCATCAAATTAGGAATCCCGCAGGTTCTGTAGCCTCCTGGGCACCTTCCTTAACCAACGCCCCCACGGTAACAATGCAAAGGACTGTCCGGGCCGCAGCCTCCGGGGCAGTGACAATCAAACGAAGGGGGTGCATCCTACAGGGAGCAGGCAAGGAATTCAGCAAGGTGTGGTCGTCGTGGCGTAGCGGGATGCCAGCGGGGACTAGCAACCTGGCGGAATCTGCAGTTGAGCACGGCAACGCAAGGCGTGCGCCATGTAGCAACAGGAACACAAGTTGATAGCTACGGACGGCTCGCGCCGCGACGACGTCGGCGCAAGTTTCTGACACCGCGTGGACCATCCAGCATCGGGCTGCCTATTTTGTGATGAGCCTGTTTTCCAACACCACCACCACATAAGTTGGAGGGGGAAGGAGGAGGAGGGCGAGGAGGAGGAGGACGAAGAGGAGGAGGAGGAGGAGGAGGAGGCGGAGGAGGACCCCCCCCCTCCAACTTGTGGTGGTGGTGGTGGTGGAGAGCACGCCCACCTATCTTGGGGTGCTTGTCCCCAGCCGAAAGCGTTCCCAGCTCTCCGCCCGATCTGGGAGCCCCATGGGGCGCCCTCGGGGTCTCGTTCGGGCTCTGGAGGCCGCGGGGGCCCCTGTGGAGAAATCCTGGGGATGCTCGTGGGCGGCGAGCGTGCGCCGGGGCGCGGGGGCCCAGCGCAGAGCCAGGGAATCCCGCGCGGACCTCTCCAGAAGCTCATGGCTCATGCCGTGTTCTTCCCTTCGAGACGACTACCTACCAGACCGCCCCAACCCAACCCGAAGACCCGAATTTCGGGTTGGGGGGGGGTACGGGTTCCGTAATGTGCTGCTTCAATGTTCCCCGGCCCCCCCCACTAAAAACGGGTTGCAAATTGAGGCTCTCGGGTTGGGTTGGGGTGGTTTGGTGGGTGGTGGCGAGAGACACATTCGGCCAGGGTCTGGCAGCACCCGCACACGCCCCGCATGCCTGCCCGCCATGAAGGGGCCCCAGGACACACAAATTAATACACACAAATAAAAAGATCCCCCATATTTTCCCATATGTTTTAGGTTTTTGTCTTCCCCCCCACTTCCCATATTTGCCCATATGTTCTGGGGAATCGACGATCAGTTGTGTCTGTGTGTTTCTTTCCCTCCTGACGCCAGCCTCGCCCCGCCGGCCCCGGCCTCCCGCCTGGACGCGCTCTTCGAACGGCCGCACGTGGTGCGCGGCCCCAGGCACGCCGCGGAGAGGAGGACACCCGCTGAAGTGATCGCGGCATCGCACCGCGGGGGGGGGGCGCCGAGGGCCGCCGCCGAGGGCCGCCGCCGAAGGGCGCCCCGGAGGCCGCCGATCGGCCCGCCGATCGGCCCGCCGAGGGCCGCGCGAAGGCCGGCGAGGGCCGCCGGGGGCCGTGGAGCCGTGGGGGGGCCTGCAGAGCTGCTGGAGCTCGGGTGCGGGACGCCGCCTGCGCCGCCGCCGCCGCCCTGCGCGTCAGGCCGCGGCGTCAGGTCGATGGTGCGGCCCGAGCACGCGCTGACTACCGAGGCGGGCCTGTTGCCTTGCAGGGGCCCAGCCGGCAGGGAGGGGAGAGAGGGGGGGCGGGGCAGCCCTGAGGTCTGGGCGTGGAAGTCTGTTTCAACACAGTATACGTCTTCGCCCGCTTTCGGGCCGCGGGACCCTCACAGATGGACCCGGCTTGAGAACTGCCGCAGGAAAATGCGATCCAGGGCCGTGGTCGCAATTTTCCACGATGTTACGTGTGTGCGCGATTTCCGAATTCCGACTGAAGGCCGGCCCACGGAAGGCGGGACAGAAAAGGTGAGGTTCAGATGCCATGCCTTCCCTTTCTGACGAGGGGCGGGGACCGGGAGGAGGTTGCAGGAGCCAGGTCAGCAGGGAGAGGAGAGACGGGTGGAAGAAGAGAGATGCCGACTGCAGGCCCAGTGGGGTGGAAGGGAGCTGCGTTGAAATCTGGGGGGTCCCATCCGCCCCACTTCAAGAGCAAGCCGTCCGCGCCAGTCGAGGAGGTTCCGGGCTTCCCGGGGCCAGCCGATGCAATCCGAGGCTGTCCGCCGAAGATGTACGAGGCCCTCCGGGGCTGCCCAGGGCCACCAGGAGGCCGAACAATCAACATGCGGCCTGGTGAGAGCTGGTGTCTGCGTAGTTTCCCCTGCGCTGCTGCCTTGCCAGGCGCCGGCCTGCGAGCTGCCCGAGGGTCCGCCTCCGGCTCGCAGGGCGCTCTCGTGCGGGAGGCCCCGCTCCACGCTTCTCGCGGTCGTGCCTCCGCCGGACAGCAGGGCTCCGTCGCGAGAGCCGCCCTGCGCGTGAACCGCCTCTACTCTCATGACCAGGGGCACACCACCCTCGGGGCTGCCCAGCGCACCTCTGCGCAGGCCGCCGCCTCTTACTTGCAGCGCGCCCTCCCACACGGCGCCTCCTCCTGCACCTCCGCCGCAGGTGCTCGTGTCGCCCCGTTGAGCGCTACCCTGCACATGGCCTGAGGGCCCCCCCCCGGCTCGCAGGGTGCTCTCGTGCGGTAGGCGTGCCTGTGCAGTCCTCGTGAGAGTATCTCCCCTGGACTGCAAGGCGCCGTCGCGAAAGCCGCCCTGCGTCTGGCCTGCTGCTGAAACTCTCATGACCCGCGGCGCGCTGGCCTCCGGGCTGCCGGGCGCACCTCTGCGCAGGTCGCCACCTCCGCCTTGCAGCGCGCCCTCCTGCACGAGGTTTCCTTCTCGATCCGCCCCGAAGGTGCTCCTGCTGCGTTGCTGGGAGCTCGCCTCCACATGGCTCGAAGGTCCGCCACTGGCTCGATGCGAGCTCTCGTGCGTAAGGCCTGCCTCGGTGCTCCTCGCGACCCTGCTTCCGCTGGAGAGCAGGCCGCTGTCGCGAGAGGCGCCCTGCGCCTGGCTTGCTTCCGGGCCTCTCATGACCTGCGGCGCGCCAGCCTCAGGGCTGCCGGGCGCACCTCTGCGCAGGCCGCCACCTCCGCCTTGCAGCGCGCCCTCCTGCACGGGGTTTCCGTCTCGATCCGCCCCGAAGGTGCTCCTGCTGCGATGCTGGGAGCTCACCTCCACATGGCTCGAAGGTCCGCCATTGGCTCGATGCGTGCTCTCGTGCGTAAGGCCTGCCTCGGTGCTCCTCGCGACTCTGCTTCCGCTGGAGAACAGGCCGCCGTCGTGAGAGGCGCCCTGCGCCTGGCTTGCTTCCGGGCCTCTCATGACCCGCGGCGCGCCCACCTCAGGGCTGCTGGGCGCACCTCTGCGCAGGCCGCCACCTCCGCCTTGCGGAGCGCCCTCATGCACGAGGTTTCCTTCTCGATCCGCCCCGAAGGTGCTCCTGCTGCGTTGCTGGGAACTGGCCTCCACATGGCTCGAAGGTCCACCACTGGCACGATGCGTGCTCTCGTGCGTAAGGCCTGCCTCGGTGCTCCTCGCGACCCTGCTTCCGCTGGAGAACAGGCCGCCGTCGTGAGAGGCGCCCTGCGCCTGGCTTGCTTCCGGGCCTCTCATGACCCGCGGCGCGCCAGCCTCAGGGCTGCCGGGCGCACCTCTGCGCAGGCCGCCACCTCCGCCTTGCAGCGCGCCCTCCTGCACGAGGTTTCCTTCTCGATCCGCCCCGAAGGTGCTCCTGCTGCGTTGCTGGGAGCTCACCTCCACATGGCTCGAAGGTCCGCCACTGGCTCGACGCGTGCTCTCGTGCGTAAGGCCTGCCTCGGTGCTCCTCGCGACCCTGCTTCCGCTGGAGAGCAGGCCGCCGTCGTGAGAGGCGCCCTGCGCATGGCTTGCTTCTGGGCCTCTCATGACCCGCGGCGCGCGAGCTTCAGGGCTGCCGGGCGCACCTCTGCGCAGGCCGCCACCTCCGCCTTGCAGCGCGCCCTCCTGCACGAGATTTCCTTCTCGATCCGCCCCGAAGGTGCTCCTGCTGCGTTGCTGGGAGCTCGCCTCCACATGGCTCGAAGGTCCGCCACTGGCTCGACGCGTGCTCTCGTGCGTAAGGCCTGCCTCGGTGCTCCTCGCGACCCTGCTTCCGCTGGAGAGCAGGCCGCCGTCGCGAGAGGCGCCCTGCGCCTGGCTTGCTTCCGGGCCTCTCATGACCCGCGGCGCGCCAGCCTCAGGGCTGCCGGGCGCACCGCTGCGCAGACCGCCACCTCCGCCTTGCAGCGCGCCCTCCTGCACGAGGTTTCCTTCTCGATCCGCCCCGAAGGTGCTCCTGCTGCGTTGCTGGGAGCTCGCCTCCACATGGCTCGAAGGTCCGCCACTGGCTCGATGCGTGCTCTCGTGCGTAAGGCCTGCCTCGGTGCTCCTCGCGACCCTGCTTCCGCTGGACAGCACGTTGCCTTCGCGAGAGGCGCCCTGCGCCTGGCTTGCTTCCGAGCCCCTGGTGACCAGCGGAGGAGCACCGTCAGAACTCGCGGCTGCTCCTCGATGCGCGCTGCCATCTCCAGACTGTACCTCGCCCGTTCCTGCCAGCTGGGTGTGGAGCGGCGGACCCTGGGCGCGCTGCACCTCGGAGTACAGGAGGCCCCGGCGCGACGGCTCCGCGTGGCCTTCGCGCTCGAACTCCGGCTGCGCCGAGTCGCCCTCCGGGGGAAATGAAATGGGATGCCGAGGTGCGCCCCCCCCCAGACGAACGGAAGGGAGACATTCTCGAAGCTGCCTCCGGGGCTCCCGACAGCCCTCGGGCCTGGCGGTGTCCTCCCGCAGCTGCGCCCCGCCGAGAGCCCTCCGGGGACACGGGGATTCAGCCAAGAAGGAGGCCGCGGCCCGAGAGAGGCGGCCCGAAAAGATGTGGAGACGCTTCCCGCCCCACGATGCAGGGGGCGCGCTGACTCGACAACCAGTTAAACCGAAGACCCGAATCTCGGGCCTGGGGGGGTACGGGCTCCACGCGCGTTTCTTCAATGTTCCCTGACCCTCCCCCCACTGGGAATGGAGGGCAAAATGAGGCCCTCGGGTTGGGTTGGGGTCGGGTCAGCGCCAACCCGCGTCAGCCAAGGCCGCGTCGCGCACAACATCCGACCACATCGCAGCTCCCAAACTGGGGCGAGCGGAGGCATGGGAGGGGGCGTCGCCGCCACACTGCTCCCAAGCCCGGGTCAGCCAGAGAGGACCCTGGGGGACTGGCTGATCCCAGCTGGCGCAGATCCCCGTTCGCGTGCGCCCTGGACGATGCACGGTTGCTGGCTTCCAGCCTCTCTGTTCACGCGGGACTCCACCTCGACGACGAGCTCGATGTACTGGATGCTGATGTTCGGCACCTCCTTCTCGACCTCCGGGCACGCAGGGCAAGATGACCGAACATCGAAACTCGAAACGCAAAATCGAATCGGTCATCGATGTAATTACATCGAACGGGCAAACATCGGCAGGTTGATCGGAAGGCATCGGAATCGGACGCCCACTGGCCCGAGGCCAGCCAGGCCCACACAACGAAGCGCAAGCCGAAGTCGTAGTTCGGAATCAAATCGAATCGGGATCGAAATCCTCGAACACGAACCGACAGAACAAAGAGAATGATTCACATGGCCCTGGCCAGGCACATCCTGAGCATAGGATGGACCTGATCAGGAGCGGCCCGTGTGTACCCAACGTCCGGCGCTTGCAACTCTTTCCGCGCGTGGGTTGCCAACGTCTCGACCCCCTGCCCCAGGTCACTTCTTGACGGCCTCGAGGCCCGAAACTGGACTCCAGAGGCCAAAACGTGTCGACAGATCGGCCGCCTCTGTTCTGTTCGAGGCGCCGGATGTCCGGGTCATCGAGGCCCCCTCGCCCGAACCGACTGGATAGGGGCCTCCTAGATGGGGTCGGAGTTGATGGGGTCGGAGGATCGCGCCGCATCGCCGATACATCGGCGATACATCGTCGATGCATCGGCGATGCATCGGCGATGCCCGATGCACCGGCGATGCATCGTCGACGTTGGCGATGCATCGGCGACGTCGACGTGACGCCAATCGGGCTGCACATCGAGCCGCCTCGGCGATGCATCGGCGATGCCTCGGCGATCCTCCGACCCCCAGCTACCCCGACCCCAATCTGGGAGGCCTGGACTCGGATCGGCAGGGTCGAGATGCTTCCTGCGGGGTCGGAGGCGGGCGGGCGGGCGGCCAGGGCGGGTCCCGGGCGCGCGCTCCGTGGGCCGGGCTGCGGAGCGGGGGCGGCCAGGTTTTGGGCGTGGAGGAGGCGGGTCCACTGGGGGGGGGGGATACACCGGGGCCCTGGAGGCCTGTTGCCGTTCTCGGGCCCCTCTCCCCCTCCCCCCTCCCCTGTTCGGACTTGGAGTACCATGTGGCACCTGCTCTAGAAAAGGAGTGTGCCGTAGACGGAGCTACCCTTGCTCCGACCTCTAACTGCGCCGAAGTCACCGGCCGCGGCGTCTGTAGAGGTATACAGCCCAAGTGTGTGACATGTCTTTAGACGTACCCCACCCACATGTGTCTATAGACGTAGCGACAGCAATTTTGACTATAGGCGCATCCCACCCACATGTATTTTTAGATGTCATGGCACCAAATGTGTCTACAGGAATGCCCACACAAGGAGAGTGTCAATCCTAGCAAAGCCATGCATCTGCAGATCGACACATGTGTCTAAAAAAACGCATCCCACCCAAATGTGTCTATAAACGCAACGACGCAGAATGTGTCTATAGACGTATTCCACCCGATGTTCGATATACGTAACGGCACCCAATGCGTACGCTTGCGGGTAGACATGATAACGGTATTTTGCATAGGCCCCTGATCCTGGTATTCTAGACTTCGCCCTTCAAGTGCGGAAGTTGTTGTGATCAAAGGAATGACGCGGCCCTCCACACAACATTAATGGCCTCAACGTCAAAAAGGCAGACATGGAACACCAAGCTACCGCGCTGGAACATAGAAAAGCAGCAAGACCTGGCATTAAATCATTGACCCGAAAAAGGCACAGAATAAACGCAGGGGTCGCAATCCCGAGGGAAAACCATGCAAGCCATAACTTCCCAGAAGGAGAACGCCGAAACAACAGGTGCGGCCGAAATAATGAGAGACATCGAAAGGGTGCGGGGCAAAGTCTTATCAGTACAAGGTTCCCCATCGGCGGTCCACAATGGGTCAGCCCTGGATGGAGGTATCCCTCCGCCGATGGGCCCGAACTGGTCTCTGGTGAAAGCTGTTTGGCCTGCGGGCGTGCTGGGAAGCCCCGGATGGGCGGGCAGTGTGGACAAAGCCGCTGGCAGTCCGATGGACTAGCTCGTACTGGCAAGTCCGCCCCCGCGCCTCGATGCTCGAAGTGGAGTGTCCTCGGGTCCCTTCCCTTGGAGTCCTGTGTCTTGAGTATTGGATATTCGGTGGGGAAGCTGATGCTTAATGTGTCGCAGCGGCGGCACCGACGACGCGCTGCGGGTTCTGCAAGCGGATAGCGTGTCGCTCCGCTCCGCGGGGAGGGAGGCGAGGAATAGCCGAAGGCGTTGACGCCTGGGCACTGGGAAGCGCTTAGCGTGTTGCGCCGCAGCCTGGCGGGCCAGAACCTGCGGCGCGACCCGCCAAGGAAACGTTCCTGGGCAGCCCCCAGTCTTTTCCATTTCACGCGTTCAACAACATGCAGGAGCCCGACAGCCCCGATTTCAGGGCGCTCCTGGGCAATCTCGGGGCTTGCGTGTGCCCGCGTGCTTCTGGGGGCTTCCCGCTTGACTGCTCCCGAAGCTTCGGAGCCCCAGGACGAGAGGAGGAGTCGGAAGAAGAGGAGCAGGAGGAGAAGGAAGAGGAGGCGGAGGCGGAGGCGGAGGAGGAGGAGGAGGAGGAGGAGGAGAAGGAGGGAGGAGGGGAGGAGGAGGAGGGGGGAGGGGGAGGGGGAAGGAGGGGGGAGAGGAGAAGGAGGAGGAGGAGGAGGAGGAGAAGGGAGGAGGAGGAGGAGGAGGAGGGGGGGAGGCGGAGGCGGAGGAGGAGGACGAGGAGGAGGAGGAGGAGGAGGAGGAGAACGAAGGGGAGGGGGGGGAGGGGGAGGAGGAGGAGGAGGAGGAGGAGGAGGAGAGGAGGAGGAGGAGGAGGAGGAGGAGGAGGAGGAGGAGGGGGAGGGGGAGGAGGAGGGAGGGGAGGGGAGGGGGAGGGGGGTGGGGGGGAGGAGGAGGAGGAGGAGGAGGAGGAGGAGAGGAGGAGGAGGAGGAGGTGGAGGGGGAGGAGGAGGAGGAGGAGGAGGAGGAGGAGGAGGAGGAGGAGGAGGAGGAGGAGGAGGAGGAGGGGGCGCGGGAAAGGGAAGACCCCAAGAAGCCCTCAGACGGTGCGAGAAGCCCCCTGCACATCCCGAGCCCGCGCTAAGACTGCCAATGCTGGCGTCAAGACGGCCCCAAAGGCCCAAGACACCCCGAGGGGGCCCCCAGAAACCGCCCAAGAGAGCTCCGCCCAGCAGGTGATACAGCGACAAACTGACGAGAGAGCATGCGGGGATAATTACTTCCAGCGCTCCCCGCCCAGGAATTCCAAAATCGAAAGGCTGGAATCCCCAAAAACTGATCCTCACAGAACGTCGTGGCGAGAAAAGGCGGGGGGGAAAGGAGGGTGGAGGACAGGAGGCAGCCACGAGAGACAGAACTGGGATCGCGCGCGCGGACGGGATCGCCCTCAGGGAAACCAGCGCGCGGGAGGACTGCAGGAGGCTCGCGCGGAATCGCGCGTGCGGATGCAGAGGCGGAGATGCGAGGGTACCGCACCTTGCGTTCTTGAAGGAAGAGGAGAAGGAGGAGGAGGAGGAGGAGGAGGAGGAGGAGGAGGAGGCGAAGGAGGAGGAGGAGGAGGCGAAGGAGGAGGAGGAGGAGGAGGAGCCCACGCCACTGAGGTGCGCACCGTCCTCCTTCCTCACCAGGGCGCGCCCGCCGCGCCGCCCGCGGCCCCCGCGGGGCCCGACTTCATGGGCTCCTCAAGGGCCCCGTCGTGGTCGACGAAGTCGCCGTGGAAGTTGACCCCAGCCACCGCCATGTCGACGACGGCGCCAGGGCCGCCCAGAGAAGCTGCCGATGACGGAGACGCCGCAGCGAGCGCCACCGTGTACGCGTCAATCTCGGCGCTGTCGTCCTCCATGTGGTCAAGCTCCTGCTGGAAGGTGGCATGCTCGTCGAGCGGGTCGTCATCAGCAGGCACTTCTTCACCTGGATCGGCAGGTGACGCTGGTGGCGTCTCCGCACCATCAACCGCTTCAGGCTCCGTAGGTTCACGCTCAGGGTGCTCGAGAGCGTCGCCTGGATTCTACAAAAGCCAGCGCACCACGTCAAAAGGGTCAGAGGTGATGGGCAAGCCCACGACTGCAATCGCAGTAAGGAGCATCGCCATTTCGCACTCCATCTCCTATTCGTCGAGGAAAACGAAGTCCTCGCCACTTGCGTCAGGAAAGACGGCCAGACCAGGAGATTCAGCATGAGCATCTTCCGCATCAGGTGGTAGTCCAACCTCATCTGGAGCATAAAAGCGTGCGGGTAGACAGAGTCGAGAGGCCGACCACACATAGCACACCGAAGGTCACGGCCTTCGTTGAGAAGCCCACATTGGACCCAGAGTCCATGCGGTAGAGCTGCAGGAGCCCCATGATCGGCAGGATGAGCAGGGACAGGGGGGCGTGGCTGAGCTTCGGCGCCATCATGGACGGTGAAGGCAGACGGATGCGGCGCCACATGCGTCCGGGGTGGGGGCTGAATCCCCTGTCCCGCGGGAGCCCCAGCCGCCTCTGTGCACGGGGGCAGGTTGCCCTCCGTCCGTGCTCCGTCGACAGGGTCTTCGGGCGAGATGGCAATCCCAAGCGAGTCAGCGGCGTGAAACAGCGGAACGGGTCGAAGTCCTCGTCCAGAAGGCGCTCGATGTGTACTTTGCCCAGAGGCCAGTCTAGCTGGAGGCTGGGGATTGATGAAGTGCCCACGGGAGCCTTGATGTCCAGAATGTGCTCGATGTCAGGGAGGTGCTCGCTGCCCTTGCGGACTCGCGAGGAAGGCCCCCAGCCCCGTCCCATTCCCAAGGGGCATAGAAGAGAGACCAGCGTGCCCGTCAGGTTCAGGATGTACAGGCGCAGGGAGCGCAGCAGGCGCAGCAGGCGCATGTGAGGGAGCCGCGGCCGTGCTGGAAGCTGCTCCACCAAGCGAGCCGGTCGGATAGATGACCGAGACAGCGTGCAGCGCCATGAGCTGGTCGAACTTCTCGTCGTCATCTGAGCTATCGTCAACCGTCAGCGGGACATATCTATGTCGGGTGGATGTTAGCCGGCGGCGTCGTGGGAGCACCGTTAGGGAACAGCAGTCTCTCCGAGGGGGAGGACGCAGCCGAATCGGACAAGGAAGGCGCGAACAGCGACGGGAGCGGGTGGACCATGACGTCCTGGGAGATCCCGTAGAAGGTCAAGTACTCGCCGTAGGCCAAAACCTGCACCTGCTCGCTGATGTTGTCCTCGCCGAGGTGGTCGACGTCATCAGCGACTGAGTCGTGCATCATCCGCATGTCGAGCTCGGTGGGTGAGGGATAATCCGTAGAAGCCCCCGCGGCCACCACACCGCCCGAGGAGGCAGCTTCACCAGCGGACGACCTCTCTTCAATAGGGTCATCAGCAGCCGCTTCCTCAGCAAGGTTTGCCTCGTCGTCTTGGTCGGAGTCCGTCGGGAAAACCGCGAGACTGGCACCAGGGTCCAGGCGGGATAACTCCACGGAGGCTTTGATGAAGCGTAGGGGCCAGCGGGAGGCGTGGTGCTCGCTGCTGCAAGTTGAAGTCGCTCTGCTGCTCAAGTGACATCCTCGAGGGGTCGGCTCGCCGCCACCGCTGTAGCATGTGCTCCTCAGCGCGTTGTCGGGCAGCCACCAAGCGATCTCAGCCTCGTTTGGGCCAAGGGCACGTAAGGTGCACACGCAGCCTGTGCCTCCCCATGGCAGACCCGTGCCACGCAGCCAAGCAGATCGCGGCCGCCAATTGGAGCCGTTCTTGAGCAGCATGCGTCACAGGCATGAGTACCGTGCAAGTCTGGTAACGCAGGGTGTCTTCGAGGTAGCCGGTGCACCAAATCATCCAGTCGAAAGAGGAGGAGGAGAAGGAGGATGAGAGGGAGGAGAGGAAAAGAGGAAAAGTGAGAGGAGTGGGAGAAGAAGGACGAGTAGGAAAGGAGGAGGAGGACGACGACGACGACGACCACGACAACCACGACGACGACGCCGACGACGACGATGACGACGACAACCACGACGACGGCGACGACGAAGACGACGACGACGACGACGACGACGGCGACGACGACGAGGAGGACAACGACGACGACGACGAGGACGAGGACGAGGAGGAGGACGACGACGACGACGACGATGAGGACGAGGACGACGAGGAGGACGACGACGATGCCCAGCGCATAGTGGCGCCCTGGGCCTCCTGGATGACGGGCTCAATCTCCTCGCGCACGACCTCAACCATCTGCGCCTGCGGCACCTCCAAGGGGAGGAGGACGAGGAGGACGAGGAGGAAAGAGGAGGGGGAAGATGAGGAGGGGGAAGGAGAAGGGAGGAGGGGGGGAGGAGGGAGAAGGTAGGAGGAGGAGACGGACAAAGAGGAGGAGGAGTAACACTGCCACAAGAGGAGGTCAGAGCAGGTCAAATGGAGAAAAAACAGGGTGCGGCCACCTATCGCGTTGCCCTCTCGTCCTCCGCCTTTGCCGCTGCCTCTGCCCAGACCCTCCTGGAGGGATTCGATAGCGACGACGACAGTGTGTATATTTGTATCGTCGGCATCCGTGGTGTAGGAATTCGGTTTGCGCGCGGCTGGATAGCAACCCGCGCGTCGTGTCTCGGGTTCCTAATTCCCCTTGCTTCGGTGCTCCCTCGCTGCAGAAGGTGACGCTGCGAATTCTGAAGGGCATGGTTTTTGTCAGTCCTCGTCCGACTTCCGCGGCGCGGACGCAGCACTGGGCCCTTACCAGCGAGACTGACTTGGACGCGCTGTTGAGGACGTGCCAGAGGATGGCCTCGAAAATCCCGAATGCTGTCGTGGCGTCAGCTCTTCGTACCTCCATCCATGCATCGTGCACCTCTGGCCGGTGCCGTGGTCGCACGAAACTGTGCTTATTTTGTTGGCATACCGCTCTAACGTGACACCCTCCTGCACCTTCTTGAATGCCCTGTCGTTGAAGCACGCTCCTTTCCGCTCATTAGTCGCCTCCCTCCTGCCTTTTTCTCGCCTCCTCCGATGGTCGATTGCGTGCTATGCTTGCTCTGCTTTTCCACTGTTTGCCACTCCCACTGACCAACTGACATCTGTCTTCTGTGGCTTGACCCAGTCTGCAGTGTATACCACTTCCTTTCAAAGTGCCTGGGATCCCCAGGAGAGATCGGCTTCGTCTTGCCTTCCGAGCTCGCCTCGCGCAGCAACTTCGAAAGAGGCCTTTCCCTGGCATCGTTGATACAGTAGCCAGTGTCTCCAGCTGCCAGCAGGCACTTCAGTGCGAGTCGGTGACTTGGGCGGGCGCGGTATCATGGCGACGCCGACAGCGGTGGACCGGTGCCCGGACAAAAAGTGTCCACACCCAGGGCGGCAAGACACTGCGACGTAATAACAACCGCAACAGCATGATGCACTTGCCTCGCACCCCTCCCCCCGAAACCCAAAGTTGAAGTGTCCACATTTTGTCCCTGGCGCGCGGCCTGCCGCCTAACCCCGCCAACTTTGAGTTGGGGGAAAGGGGGGTATACATATTCGTTCGACGTGATGAAACGACGAGTTGTCTTGGCGCGACAAGTGTGGACACTTTTTGTCCGCCCACCGTGGTTCTTATGCTCTGGATTGGTGCTGCAATACGGCGAGGGCATTGGATAAGGAATCGTTGGATAAGGAATCCAAGGTCTCGAAGCCAATGGACCTCCAATTGTGGATCGGCCATGGGCATCGCCACCGCCCTCATCGGATAAGGAATCCTCCAGGGTCTGATGCCTCCTGGGCGCATTCCTTAAACAACGCCCGCACCGTAAATGTGAGTGCGTCTCGCGCGAAAGCCCGAGCACGGACGGAGGGGGGAGGAGAGGTGCGGAGGACGGCGGAAGAGTTCGGAGGAATGGGAGGGAGTAGGGATGATTCCAAAGGGGTGCGGAGGGAGGGGGAAGAGTGCGGAGGAGGAGGAGGAGGAGGAGGAGGAGGAGGAGGAGGAGGAGGGCGGATGGGGAGGGAGGAGTGTGGGGGAGGTAAAGGGAGTCGGAGTGAGGGCGGCGGCCCCGCGCCCCGCGCCCCGACGTGGAGCGGGCGGAAGCTGGCACCGCTGGATAGAACTGGATAGAACTGATAGAACTGGTCATAGAACTGGTCATAGAACTGGTCCATTAAAAATAGGGTCCGGCCTAGAACTGGTCGGTCCAATTAAGAAAGTTACAAAATATCAATAACTCTTCTTCTAAATGCGACCAGTTCTAGGCCAGGCCCTATTTTTAATGGGCCAGTTCTATGACCAGTTCTACGACCAGTTCTACCCAGTTATACCAGTTCCGCGCCGTCGGAGGCGACGGCGGGGGGGGAAGCGCGCCAGGCCTCACTCCTCAACGTCGGCGCCCTTCGCGGTCCGCAACGCGGACCGCGAAGGGCGCCGACTTTGAGGAGTCCCACGGTTGTCCCACGTGGCTGTCCCGTGGGTAGTCCCACGGTTGTCCCAAGGGCTGCCCCGTGGGTTGTCCCGTGGTGGTCCCGCGGGTTGTCGCATGGGTTGTCCCGCGGTGATGCTGCGGGTGTCCCGTGGTTCCGCATACGCGCACATCGTCACCTAATTGCGTGTCGTGCTGGACGCATAAGCACGCACCAACACACACTTAAATGCACGCACACATGTAAGCACGATAACAACATGAAACCACCAAACACATCTAACCCGGACGTGGTTCTTATGCTCTTGATTGGTGCTGCAATACGGCGAGGGCATTGGATAAGGAATCGTTGGATGAGGAATCCAAGGTCTCGAAGCCAATGGACCTTCAATTGTGGATCGGCCATGGGCATCGCCACCGCCCTCATCGGATAAGGAATCCTCCAGGGTCTGATGCCTCCTGGGCGCATTCCTTAAACAACGCCCGCACCGTAAACGTGAGTGCGTCTCGCGCGAAAGCCCGAGCACGGACGGAGGGGGGAGGAGAGGTGCGGAGGACGGCGGAAGAGTTCGCGGAGGGCGGCGGCCGGCGCGCCCCGCGCCCCGACGTGGAGCGGGCGGAGGCTGGCACCGCTGGATAGAACTGGATAGAACTGATAGAACTGGTCATAGAACTGGTCATAGAACTGGTCCATTAAAAATAGGGTCCGGCCTAGAACTGGTCGGTCCAATTAAAGAAAATTAAGAATATCAATAACTCTTCTTCTAAATGCGACCAGTTCTAGGCCAGGCCCTATTTTTAATGGGCCAGTTCTATGACCAGTTCTGACCAGTTCTACCCAGTTATACCAGTTCCGCGCCGTCGGAGGCGACGGCGGGGGGGGAAGCGCGCCAGGCCTCACTCCTCAAAGTCGGCGCCCTTCGCGGTCCGCAACGCGGACCGCGAAGGGCGCCGACTTTGAGGAGTACGGTTGTCCCACGTGGCTGTCCCGTGGGTAGTCCCACGGTTGTCCCAAGGGCTGCCCCGTGGGTTGTCCCGTGGTGGTCCCGCGGGTTGTCGCATGGGTTGTCCCGCGGTGATGCTGCGGGTGTCCCGTGGTTCCGCATACGCGCACATCGTCACCTAATTGCGTGTCGTGCTGGACGCATAAGCACGCACCAACACACACTTAAATGCACGCACACATGTAAGCACGATAACACCATGAAACCACCAAACACATCTAACCCGGACGGTGCCCGGACAAAAAGTGTCCACACCCAGGGCGGCAAGACACTGCGACGTGATAACAACCGCAACAGCATGATGCACTTGCCTCGCACCCCTCCCCCCGAAACCCAAAGTTGAAGTGTCCACATTTTGTCCCTGGCGCACGGCCTGCCGCCTAACCCCGCCAACTTTGAGTTGGGGGAAAGGGGGGTATACATATTCGCTCGACGTGATTAAACGACGAATTGTCTTGGCGCGACAAGTGTGGACACTTTTTGTCCGCCCACCGACGCGATGGTGTTAGTAGCGATGCTGGTGACGATAGCGGCGATGACGACGGCAAAACCAATGACGGCGCCGATGTGGACCACGACCGCCGATAACCATGACGACATCCTCGCGTCGGCGATGAAGGTTTTTTCGACACGCGAGCGCGGCCGACGCGCGCGAGTAGCTCACGTGAGCCTATTTGACACGGGCCCCCCCACCCAACACGCGCGCAAGGGCGTTCGAAGGAATTCCACATGCGGCGAGAGGATTCCGTTTGGCAAAAACTTGTCATACGGTTGAAAACGGGCGATCTTCTTAAGACTATACAAGGCTACGAGCGCATGCTTTCTTAAAAACGGATGTTGCAAAACCATGCTTGTATTCGGGACACTCGACTTAGGAAACCGTGCGAAACCGAAGGTAGTTTAAAAGTTTCAGCAGCGCGCGCGGCGACGCCCGCGCGCGCACGTCGTCTCATATGGTGCAAGAGATTCTCGCGACAGCACGCGCGCAAGGGCGTTCGAGCTTTTTCGGCATGCGTGCGCGAGAGGCCCGCCTGGTAGCAGATCATGAAACGTGTGAGAAACTTGTGGTTGCGGCAACAATTCGCAAGAGCGCGGGCACAGGCTTTTCGTGTGAAAGCCCTTGTTGCGAAACGAATGGTTTTCAGTTGGTTTCGTGATTCTCGATTTCGAAACCCCTACGCAACTCCACGTTGTTGAAAGATTTCGGCATGCGCGCGACGACGCGCGCGAGTGCACGTCGCCCCTTTTTGTGCAAGCGATTACTGGGTACACATTATCGGCGACAAACGAGCGCGCGCGCATAAGATCTGCGGCAGAGAACTGGGGGACCGATAACAGCCCGTCTGGGATGCTGTGAATTCACGTTTAGGGCGGACGATGGAGCAGAACCACATGCAACGTGCAATTCGACAAGGTGGCCCGCTAACCCCTGGGGAAGGGTGGGGTGCTCCCTATGGGGCCACAATCCTCGTGAGGGGTGCGCCGAACTGGGGGCGGGGCCGCCATGCGAACTTTCCCACTGGGGCCTTCGGTGGAGCTCCCTATGGGGCCACGATCCTCGCGAGTGGTGCGCCGAGCTGGGGCGGGGCCGCCACGCCAACTTTTCCACTGGAGCCTTCGGTGGAGCTCCCTATGGGGCCACGAAGCGCGTGAGGGCTGTGCCGAAATGAGGCGGGGGCGCCATGCGAACTTTCCCACTGGGGCCTTAGATGGAGTTCCCTAAGGGCCAGGAAACGTTTGAGGGGCGTGCCGAAATGATGCGGGGCCGCCACGCGAACTTTCCCACTGGGGCCTTAGATGGAGCTCCCCATGGGGCCACGAAGCGTGTGAGGGGTGTGCCGAAATGGGGCGGGGCTGCCATGCG